CAATAGAAGAGTTAACCAATCAGAAGGCTCAAAATATTCACTGCGACATGTATAAAGGCAGCCATTTTGTTCTTTCTCTCAAAATATCTTCACTGCCAACCTCTGATATCGAAGACAGAAAGAATTACTTAACAGCTGCTACTTTCTCCGAATCTTCACTCTCAGCCTCTGATATCGAAGACTTAAAGAATTACTTAACAGCTGCTACTTTCTCCGAATCTTCACAGCGAACCTCGGATATTGAACATATTACGTACTTCACTGGATTCTATATTCAAAGACTACGGCAAACATGGTTAACAAATTATTTCTTCAAAATACCATGGGATCAGAGTTAAAATAAAAGGTTTCGAGATATAAGATTTGAAGTTCCGCATAGTTTGTGATTTAAAGAACTTAACTCAGTTGAAGTTCCCCGGAGTTTTTGAATTTAGTAATTCAAAGTTATTTTAGCAAAGTTATCTTTGTTGTTTTCGAAGCTGGACCAGAAGTCTCTTTAGTCTTGGGTCGCGGCCCAATTAGCCCTGCGCTTGCTCTAGCGTAAAAGTCTGCACCGATTGCGTCTTTTAAGCTAATATTATATGCTATATTTGTAGAGATTATTTATAAAAGCCAAAGAAGAATCCGCATTGTTAGTGGTACTGATCTGGCATCTCAGATATATTCTCTTTCCCACCGCCATATCGTACCTGTATCATTTCTATAAATACTTTCATGATAAATGTTCTGATTAATTTTCTTCTATCGTACTTAGACTTTATTAATTTAAGTACTAGATTGTTGACAAGGTCTCATCATTTTACAGCTGAAATAGCTAGATATAACCGTAGGTTCTATGCTGATAGTTTCTTCTATCGCATTTCTCGATGGTGGAATTCTGTTCCTGATTCTTGCTTCTCAGTCAAATTTAATCTTCAAAAATTTAAATGCAATGTCAATCGTTATCTTCTGTCTTCTTAATTCTTATTATTTTAATGCCCGCTCTCCTTAATTGGATTTTTTAAATGTTCTTTAACACCCAGTAACCGTTTGTGCCCTAATAGCTTTATTGCATTTTATAGGGAGAATGGATTTTTTTAAAAAAAGCTCTTTTATGTTGAGTCCGTAAGCATTTATTAGATCCAGATATTGAGAAATATTCGTCGTTTATATTCAAGTCTACAGGCATTTAAGTGACACAGCGATACGCAAATATTTGTCTTATATATATATATATATATGAGTCTATAAGCAATTATTTGATTTGGGAATATTCTGTAAAGCTGTCCTTTAATGTTTACTTCTGTCTAAAGCGGAAGTCTGGTCGGTTTGACAAGGTCAAATTGGCAGTTGATCTCCGAAATGACATACATTCTTTTGTGAACTGGAGCACGAAATCACGTAAATTTAACGCCTCGAAAACGAAATTTCTCTCCATTAATCGTCTGAGATTTTCTTTTCTGTTTCTCGTTAGAATGGCTAATGCTCACTGCCAGAATAGTGACTCATTTCGCTGTCTCAGGCCAACGATTTCCGATGACATGAAGCAGAAATATTACATTGGATCAATTGCATCATCTAGATAAGATGGCTGACCGTGTTATACTAGACAATATTTTTCTCGACGAATCTACCTTACATATATGCAAGTCGACTATTTGTCCATGGTTTGAATGCTGTTCATATTTAGAGATCCTTGATAAAATCTAAAGGAGAATCTGCAATTTTATCCGACTTGACTTGGCATCTCTGCTTCATTCTCTTTCCCACACTTTCCCATGTAGCATCTCCGTGTCTTCATGAGATTACTATATTTGCTTTTTTTTTTTAAATGGGTCTCTTGAAATCCATGGTATTCCTTCTTTTTTTGCATTCATTTTCGCTACATTCATGGTACTTAATCTCTGTTAATTCAGCTGCAGTACTTGATGGGCAGTAAGTTCTCATCAATTCAGTGTTGAATTGGATAGATTGAGAAGTAAGTTCGATGTTAACAGTTTCTTTTCTCGAACTTCTCACTTGTGGAACTCTCATATGGCTTCTTGTTTTTCAGTCAAGTTTGATTTTAAAAAATTAAATACAATGTCAATCGCTAACTTCGAGCTTCATAATTCTTGTTCTTTTATTGTTCTCACTTCTTAAAAATAATTTTCCTTACATTCTTTCACACTCAGTAAACTTCTACGTCTTAGTGGCTTTCTTGCCTTGCATGGGATGAAAGTATTAAAAGAAAAAAGCAAGAGAAGATGACCATTTTACGGTTGTATCATTACACTCTTAAAAGATACCGTCTATGTATTCTAGATCCTGACAACAGCACCTATCACAATACTTTATCATGTGATTAATTTCGATTAATTTCGATTAGTAAACTATAATTATTAAGGAAACAAATAAATTAATATGAGCGGATCACTTATTTATTTCCATGGAAACATCGACATATCTTTGGATATCGGTGGATAGAGCATATTTTCTGCAATAAAACGCAATATTCTACACATTGCTATTAAAAATGGTGTGTATTTTGGCCAGTGACGATGATGTATTTCATAGTAACATATCTTGTTGGTATATAAAAACACAAAGAGAAACTATTATAAACTAACACCCGACCTCTAGTAAAACCCTTAAGCACAATCCATTGCTTAAGATCCAGATAAAATAATCGACTCCATGTGACGCTATGTGGCACCTCATGCTATTTTCTACGTTTACAAGAGATAGATAAGATCCAAAATGGCGCACTTTTTCTATATTTTGGCGGGAACTGCTCGGTTCCCACTTCCCCGGTTCAATAGAGTTGAAAAGCGTGTCCGAGATTTTGTTAGAGAAGAATAATTTCCCACTGTCCAAACTCACTCACACAGACGGTATATGGCGAGTTACTCGCTGCTCTATCTTTATTAACATAGAAAGTGTACGAACGAGCTACATCCATTGATTCCGTCAGGTCTAACTTTCATGGATAGGACCTGCTATGCCACTTACACTTTAGAAAACCACCCATGTTCCCTCTGTATTCCCTTGTCGGTAAGTTACACTCGAAAACTTTCTTACCAGGAATCACTGCATTGTTTAACAGATACCAAGGAGGATGTTTGCCCGATCACTACAATGTTAAGTCTAGAGTTAGCCTTTATCTTCCACTTCTATCCATATGAAATAACCTCTTAACGTATCCATCTACTTCGTGGCGTTGCAGGCCTTGTACTGGGTGAATATCACTAAACAAAAGAAAGAAAAAAACTTCAATAAATACAGGGAGCACGAATTCAACTATGATTCGAATTATGAATTAGAAAGAAGAAAATGGAGCACGTACAAAAATTGAAACGTCTGGGGAGGGTTTTAACAGTAAATGAAAAACGTGAAACCCAAATTGCCTAAGATTCGAGCTATAAATTGGAGACACGAAAATGAAACACATAAAAAATTGAAACATCTGGGATTTTTTATCAGTGAACGAAAAACGTGAAACCAAAATTGCTTAAGATTCGAGCTATAAATTGGAGACACGAAAAGGAAACACGTAAAAAATTAAAACATCTAGGATTTTTTTTAACAGTAAAGGAAAAACGTGAAACCCAATTTAACTACGATTCAAACTAGGAATTGAAGACACGAAATGAAGTATGAAGATTTAGGAATCTAGGGCACAGATTTTAACAGTGAACAAATAAACTTGGAACCAAAATCCGGGACGTGCACTGAAATGCTTACAGATAGCACAATATGTCTTACAAAAACAAAGCAAAATATTAAGAAGAAAGAACATTTAATAATAAGCAAAGAAATAAATACTGAACTATTATGTAATGTCGGATGTCTTATAGGCAGTGAATGTAGGACTATCTCCTCACAGATAAAGAGGAAAGTTGAGACAGCAGAAAGGTGGTTCTAGAGAAGGATGCTGTCGGCAAAAGAAATGTGTTTCTACAGATGCTGAGAATATTATAGTCTCTACATGTGAATAACGACGAAGTTTTAAAGAAAATGGCAGCAAAAGAAACACGTCAAATCAGAGTCAGTTGTCATTTCTCTGGCGCGTAATAAAGAAATATGGCTTGGTGAAATTGATACAACCATGACACACTGAAGTCTAATGGGTCGCAAGATATCCGCAAATGAAATATCTAACGATCGTTTGTAAATGGTTAGAAGAAGGAAGGATGAGAGTGATATTAAAAAGACAAATCTTAGTACGAGCTACAAAGAACGGGACGTCGCGGAGAGCCATGACGTTTTTTTCATAGACTTGGCCATTTTCTTAATATTTCTTTCTTCTTAATATATATATATATTTGCAAGACTAGTTTCTTCGATTATTTTGTTTATTTCCGTTTTTTATGGACAATGTATATTTCTTGCCGCTTGCCTATTTAACCTTTGGCTTTTTGTGGCATTCATAACGTTTTTTGATTCTTTGTATCTTGACAAGGTTTTAGAAAGATTTTGCCCGTCCTCTCTGGTTTTGTTCAACCTTTTCGGAATTTGAACGTTGTGTTGGCATCATTCAAAACCATTTACAATATCTTCTTTCGAGTTAAATTTGTATTTTTCTATCATGCATATATTATTTATCTGATATCAAGAATATACAAAAATGACGATAATAAACGCGCACACGCAACTAGAAAAGAAAGAACATCAAAAATAGTTTTTTTTCTTGTGCGAACAAAGAAAAAACCAAATTCATGACAAAACACACACACACAGATATATATATATATATATATATATATATATATATATATACATACATATATATATATATATATGTGTGTGTGTGTGTAAATGAAATAAATAATAAAAAGAAAATGAAAGAATATTAATCTACAACCCAGTGTGTCTAAAGATTTTAATTTTTAATATTTTTTATTGTTCAATATATATATATATATATATATATATATATATATATATATATATATATATATATATATATATAGATATCAATAAAGATAGATATGAAAGAAATGAGACAGAGATAATTAGGTAGATAGATAGATTGACAGAAATTAATGAAGATAGATAGATAGATATAAAGAAAGTAAAGACGATAGATAGATAGATAGATAGATAGATAGATAGATAGATAGATAGATAGATAGATAGATAGATAGGTAGAAAAGAAAGAAATGAAGATAGATACGAACAAATTGAGATAGATAGAAAATAATGTAGATAGATACAGAATGAGAGAGATAGAGAGAGATAGAGAGAGTGATAGATACAAATCGAAACACGCACTATGCAATATTTAGATATGAACTGAGATAGGATACGAGGTATGGATGTAGAAAGAAAGAACGATAAATTGTGTTATAACAAATTAATATGAAAAACTGCGGGTGGGTAGGTAGCTAGCTAGATAGATAGACATGGATAGATAGATAGATAGATAGATAGATAGATAGATAGATAGATAGATAGATAGATATTAACTGATTTATACAGTATTAAGTTTGAGAGAAAAGATATTTGGAACAAAAAAATTAAATCTTTTGATAAATGTCAATTCCTGAACAGGGTGTAATATATAGATATCTAGGTAAATATATATGATGAGACAATGATAGATAGATAGATAGATAGATAGATAGACAGACAGATAGATAGATAGATAGATAGATGAATGAAAGATGTAACCAGACTGATATAGCAAGGTAGATATAAAGAGATTGTGCTCGACAGAAATAGGTATATAGCATATATATATTTATCACATATATATAGCAAACTAAAAATACACACACACCTATACACACAGACACGCGCCCGCACACGCGCCCGCACACGCGCCCACACATGCTCACGAACACGCGCCCGCACACACACAAACACACACTCTGACACACACAAATATATATATATATATATATATATATATATATATGCACAATCATACACATACACACACATATATATATATAAATATATCTCTCTATATATCTATCTATCTATCTATATATATATATATATATATATATATATATATATATTTATATATGTGTGTATGTGCCTGTGTGTTTGTGTGTGCGTGCGTGTGTATGTATATAGGTATGTATGTAATTGTGGTTTGCTCAAATGGAAATTATTTTTAAAAATTGGTATATTATTTCTTCGTCATGTAGTTACATGCTTTTATGTTATGACAATTGATTTCCACCGTAGTTTATAGAAAAAAAGTAAAAAAAAAAACTTTTCTCGTTCTTTAAAATGAATGAAAAAAAAAACCTATTATTACATATTTTTCTTCTCTTTTCAAAAGGTCATTTTTCCTATTTTTTTTTCTACAAGCTTCATGTAAGTTCGAGATGTTCATTATAAAATTTAGAATCGAAATTGTGACGCAATGAATAGAGAACGTCTCTAAAGGTTCGATTCGCCAGTTCTCTCTTGACGACGCACTTTCCTTGTGAAAAAAAACCCCGAAAAAACAAAAGAAAAAGAATGTTGTCTCTTTGCATCCGTTCGAGTGTGTATGCGTGAGTACATACGTGTCCCGTCCGGGTTTGTTTCAGATAAGGGCCGCTCCAAAACGTTAACATAGATTTTTTTTTATATAATATTGCCTTTTGCCTTTACCTCTTAGATGAGGCAGTATAATTATTTACATTATATTTATAGTTCGTACTCTTGTCCTCTTTTTCACAACATTTCGGCCGTTGTACGATTCAGCCTGCTTCAGGGGATTAAAATTTCGAACTGAACCCTTTATTCCGTCAACCGGAGTAGATTGTTCTAGTTCCCCGTGCCATGTCTCTTCTGGTTATCTCAGTTATCTCCCTTTAAATCATCTCTCCGAGTTTTTTTTTTTTTTTGCTCACCCCTGTGACCCCATTTAGGGATGCAAGGAAAAGGAAGAAAAGAAATGAAATTTTGATAATGAAAAATGGTGAAGGGTTTCATTGTCGAGAATTCTAAATAGATAAAAATTAACTGTGTCGTGGTGGCGGACTTGTATTATCGGGAATAGATAACAGCTGGCGAAAATCTAATTGACAAGTTCCAGATCGGCTAGCTAAACTCCGGGACAGAATAGATAAACATTTAACTGTGTCACGGGAATGCCATTTGAGGCTTCCACAGAAAACTACAGAGATAAAAATTTAATAGGTCGCCCGTTGACCACACACGAGCTGAAAAAAAAAAGAAAAACAAAGAAAATAGGTTAAGTCTTTGTCGATGGAAAAATATGGTTAGACAAGGTATCTGGGTTGTGTTAGAATCTGGCGATAACAGCGAAACTATTTTATCGGAAAAGTTGGCTGTGTTTCGCTAGGTGACACCCACCTGATAATTGGCGAAAATCTGATTGACGTAGTCCAGATGAAAGTGACTTTGGGATAGGAATTGAGGTTATCACACTACGGGTCGTATTGTTCTGTTGGCGGTCAGAGTAGAAGAGAGAATAGAAAAGAAAAGAAAGAAGGGAAATAGAAAAAAGAAAAAGATAATTCTTTTTTCTTTGAGCAAGATATATTTTTTAAAAAAACAAGGCTAGTCTGGTCACACCCACACTGTTGATCGGTCATTGTTAACGACAGCCAGGCGGAGGTGATCATGTGATGCAGGGGGGAGGCCTGCTACCACTCATTAAAGACGATAGGTATTAGATGTTTCTGCGAAGAAGTAGGAAAATCGTTGACGCCCTCTGAGGGTATGGTAAGAGAAGACTTCCAAAAATGGAAATAATAAATTTTTCCTGACCGAAAACAAAAAAAAGGGGGATTGTGGATTTGAAATTGTCAGGGAACCTCAAACCCCGACAAAGCCCACCCCGATTTTGGTCGGCGTCCATATAAGCAAAGTCGCAGCGAGCGAAAATCAGTTGGAGTTCCAGTTTTCCAGAGTTTCCAGTTCGCATTTGAAGTGGGTCCGCCTCGCAGAGCTGACTTGAAAGATTCGCGCAACTTCCGAACTCATCTTCAATCCAAGAACAATTTATTTTTGAAGAGCGACTTATATTCATACCACCAAAACAAGTTTTACGACTATCGCCTGAAGACACACCAAGAACCAGTTTCTTAAAGAACAGACAACTTAAGATGTTAAGACTCACCTAACAAAAACAACGTGTCACGAATCCATATAGCGGGTCAGGAGATAGACGCAGTCCTATGTATCCAGCAACCAGATATAAAATAGTGTTATCTTTTTTTTGATACCTTTGAGCTTTTGAGTTATTATTTTATTTTATTTTAGACATATTTTTGCGATACCACCATTATTCGAACTCAACCTGCATTACGGCCCCGACGACTGATTGATTTCGTCTGCCTAAGATCAATTCACAACGTGGGTAGGCGGACTGGAGATCAACGCAGTTACTTCGGTAACCAGACGCTGGAAGCGAGTTGGGAACGACGAGGCTGATATCGAATCTGAACAGATTCCCATCCGAATCACCAAAACCTTAGAACGTCACATTTTGGTGCCGCGACCAATACCAAGCCAGTTGGTCGTCACAGGACGGAACAACACGACTGACGCAGACCGGTGGACGTCACGTTTGGAGCGGCGACACCCGAACGAAGCAGCGAGGAACGAGCAAGGCTGGGGGACGTCACACCCATGTCATAGCCAGATATTAACCTAACAAATCTTTGGGTCAAGTCACTGAATCTAACCAACGACTTTAGTCACTGGGCCATGTGTCCTGAAGAAGACTGGAGCGTACAGCGCCTGAATCGTCATGAATATGGCGATGAAGATTAGGAAAACTGTCCGAACTATGTAAATAATGTAAAGATGTTACATTTATTATAAATTTCTCTTTTTCTGTGCGCGCCGTTTCGCTTGAATACGTGGGTGAACATACCAGTCAGGAGATTACTATATTTTTCTTTTTTTGTTTTAACTGGGTCTCTTTAAATCCATGGTATTCCTTCTTTTTTTTGCATTCATTTTCGCACATTTGACACGTACCAAAAACTTCCGTTGTTAGGCGTGTATTGAATTCCTTTAGGCATGTCAGATTTATAATTCCCGGGGATTATCGAGGAAAAAGACGAAAGTGACACTATGTGCTTTCGAACCATTTCACCCCCATCAAAGCAATAATACCACTAAAACTCAAGAGTTTACAAACTGCGAAAGAATATGCTAATAAGAAAAAAAAACATTATTAAATCGGGAAGACAGTAAAAGAACAGGAATTAAGAAGACAGAGGATAACGATTGGCATTAAATTTAAAATTTTTGAAGATCAAAATTGACTGGAAATCTAGAATCCTGCAGATAGAGTAGCGAGCATAAAGATCAGAACGATGTTTAGAAAAAGTCTAAATATGAAATAACTTTTTATTTTAAAGCTTCAAAGAAGATTTTAGCATGGAAAAATAAGGATATAAATGTAAATTATATAATTCCAAAATATAAAGATCAATAAACTTATTTTGATAAAGTTATAAGAATAAATATACAACATTCGAAAAAAAATAGATGATCAAAAACATTAATATGATTAACAAAATCATACAATTATAATAGACACATCATATCCAAATGAAACTAGCGTTCATAATTCATTAGTACTTGATGTGTAGTCCTTTACTAACAATAACAGCTTGACACTTTTGCTACATGAGCGAATTAATGTCTTGCATTTATTAACGGATATTTGATCTACAAGATAACCTCAAGCGTAGATTCTTTCGAGGTGGTGTTAATGTATTGTGCCACCGCTTGGACAAGCTTTTTTTAAAAACTAAAAATCTAGACTCTACAGTGGCTTGCAAAAGTCTGCACACCCTTTGAAAATTTATATATCTTGTATAATTTAACAGGGAACAAAACATTTTTTTCAATTCCAATGATTGTTAAATAAGCAGATCTATCATACTTTCCTTTGGCATAAAAATTACATTTTAAAAATTCCACACTGATTCTTAAAATCATATAACTTAGAAAAATGTTTTACAAAAGTCTACACCCACCCCTAGATATTATACTGTGTTATCACATAGTTTGTCAAAAGTGATATGTGTGTTCTTCCATAACAAAAAAAAACAACTTGTCCAGTCTATTATTTTGCTATATAAGGTGATTTAACTGCCTACAAAATCATCCACCACATGGTTTCTTAGTATGTTGGTCTTTGGACTGACTGTAAACACAAGGTGTCCAACTTGGGAAAGAAAATGGGCAAGCCTCTCTCTCAGGAAATTAAAAACCTTATTATTCAAAAGTACATTGAAAATAGTGGCTATAAAAAATTGCAAAATTTCAAGAATTGCCCCTAAGCTCTGTTAAAACTGTAGTTAAGAAGTGGCTAGTGCACAAAACCGCTGCTACCCTAGCAAGATCTGAGAGACCGAGCAAACTTACCAGATAAGAAAAATCAAAACTGGTCCAGGAGGCAACCTCCAACCCTAGTGCAACACTGGAAGACTTGAAAGCTTCAGTTTCCAGTACCGGGACAGATGTCCATGCATCTACAATTTCCAGAGTATTGCACCAGTCTGGCCTGTTAGTTTTAAGGTAGCTACAAAAAATCCCCTTCTGAAGCCTATGCAGAAGCAAGCTATGTTAAATTTGGCAAACGTCACATCAATGATTCCATGACCATGTGGCGAAAGATTTTGTGGTCAGATGAGAGCGAAGTCGAGTTACTTGGTAAAAATACGAAACGCTACGTTTGGCGGAAAAAAAAGCACTGCTCACCAACCTCATTACACCGTCCTCACTGTAAAGCATGGCGGTGACTCAATCATGCTTTGGGGCTGTTTTTCAGCTTCAGAGCCTGGGGAGCTGGTAACCAACCAAGGTGTCATAAACAGTGTCAAGTACAAAGAAATATTACAGGCAAACCTACTGAAGTCTGCTAGAGCTCTGCGCTTGAGTCGTAATTTCAAGTTTCAACAAGATAACGACCCCATGAATGTGTAAAAAAGCACTAAAGCTTGGTTTGCTAGCACAGTTTTGGAGTGGCCCAGCCAGTCTCCAGACCTCAATCCTATAGACAATCTATGGCGAAGTATAAAGCTGGCTGTGCACCGACGTTCCCCATCCAATCTGACACAGCTCGAGAACTTCTGCCATGAAGAATTTCAACAACTATCAGCAGATCACTGCAGCAAGCTCTTGGAAGGCTACCCGAGGCGTCTGCAGGCTGTAATTGACGCAGCAGGACAGCTACAAAATATTAGCTGAAGACATTCCAAAGTGGTTTACAAAGACATTTTTCAAAATTATCTTTGTTTAAGAATTCGTTTTAAATTTTTCAAATGTATTTTGTGCATTAAATAAAACAAATTATTGGAGTTTAAAATATTAATTGTTTCTATCAAAATAAACAAAATACATAGTTTTCAAGCGGGTGTAGACTTTTGCAATGTACGGTAAGCTTGATGGAACCAACACTCGGATGCTGAGAACCATACTTACCATCTCTTGGAGAAACCATGCAACTAAAGCATAACATTTTGGAGTCATCTCTGATATTTTTACAATCATACGCAACCGAAAGGAGAAATTGCGAGTTATCTGGACACCTTGCCATGTCAAAAACATTCTTTGGAATTGGAATGATTGTTAAATAACAGATCTATCATGATATACATTGAACAGCAACAGTTTTCCTAATCTTCATCGCCATATTCACGACGTTTCAGGCGCTGTACGCTCCATCGACCAGCAATGATATACATTGAACAGCAATGTTATAAAAGAGAATGCCACCCTCATGCCCTTTCGACCTTGATCCAGGACCGTGATGGTTGAAGTGATAAACTCATGAATATCCAAGAGAACTCAACCGAAATTTTATGCACAAAAGCCAGAAACAGGACAGAAAAGACAATGAAACAGATCAAAAATTATTTAGAAAAACCAAAAACAGGCAGCTACCGAGACCAGTGAACGCTCACGGACAGGGCAACTAACAATAATAATAATAATAATAATAATATTGGGAATGTCAAAATCAAGGGGCTACGAAAATGTAATTATCAAGATATTTCCAGAGCAGGTAAAGGAAAATAAAACACAGATATCCAAAGGGAAGGAAGGTTAGCAAAATATGTCTTCCCGAAACTAAGCAAAGTATTACGACACAGGAAATTAGTGTCAGAAAATACCGTGAAATACCAGGTAATTTTATTGAAAATTGTAAAGTTTTTCAGTGATGACTTCAAAGAACCCTGTAGTACACCGAACTATTTACATACAATAAGAAGGGGAGAGATAAAAATTTGCGATAGATAATAAAAATGATATCCTGGAGATTTTAACAGTCGCCGGATGTATTGAAAAAAAAGAGACGTGGGGGAAAAAGGATGAAACTATTTTAAGGAAATTTTATGCACAAAAGCCAGAACAAAGACAGAAAAGACAATGAAACAGATCAAAAATTATTTAGAAAAACCAAAAAACAGGCAGCGACTGAGATCAGTGAACGCACACGGGCAGGGCAACTAACAATAATAATAATAATAATAATAATAATAATAATAATCTGAAACAGAATGAGAAGAACAAGTAAAAATATGAACGATAAAAGAAACATGAATAAGAATAGTATATATATATATATATATATATATATATATATATATATATATAAAAATTGCAAATTAAAAAATAATAATGTACTTTTATGAAAGTATTTATTTATTTGTATATATATTTGATATTTCAGATTGGCCTCAATCTTTCTTCAGAAATATATATATATTTAAGTATTTCTGAAGAAAGATTGAGGCCAATCAGAAATATCAAATATATATGCAAACAAATAAATACTTTCATAAAAGTACATTATTTTTTTAATTTGCAATTTTTCTATATATACATATTAAGAAAGTATACGTGGCTTCATTATATATATATATATATATATATATATATATATATATATGAAATGGACAAAGTCCGACAATTATTTAAATTATTTAAATATATATATATATATATATATATATATATATATATATATATATTCCGAAACCGTGAGATCACCCCTGGTCGGCGGCTGATGAAGTCAGGGTATGTTAAAAATATATATATATATATATATATATATATATATATTTAAATAATTATTGATTAAATATATATATATATATATATATTTAAATAATTATTAATTAAATAATTAAATAGTTAAAAAAAAATTATTTTTTTAAACAACATCTAAAATATTACTACAGTTAGATTTACGTTAAGAATATTCGAACACAGTGGCGTTCCATATCACGTGACGACCGCGTCTCGCGACGGACGCTACTTGTTAACGATTGAGTTGAGGTCAATTGAAATATCAAATATATATATAAATAAATTAATACTTTCATAAAAAAAAACATTATTATTTTTAATTTGTAACTTTATATATCTATATATATATATATATATATATATATATATATATATATATATATATATATATACAATCTGAGACCAAAAGGTAAATCAGACTGAAAGAAGAAGAAGAAGAAAAAGAAGAAGACGAGCTTCAGCAGCAGCAGCAGCAACAACAGCAACCGTGTGAGAGATGAAAAGAATGGTAAAGTGATGGAAAAGATAAAGAAAAGGACCAAAGGAAGAATAAGAAGAACCAGTAGAAATGAAAAAGAAAGGTAAAGATATATGTAGGATGTAGACGTAATAACTTACACAGAAAGAGAGTGAAAAAAAAAAGAAAAGGGAAAAAAGAAGGAACGGAATAAAAAAAAAAAGACAAAGAATGTATTATGAAATATTTTTTTGACAAAACAAAAAAAATAATAAAATAAAAGACATTGATGAAATGAATAAGAGGGAATTGAAAAGGAAAAAAATTCAAAGGAAGCAGACGGCACATGACGAACCCTTCGCGGTAAAAACGAAAATAAATATAACCCGGATGTTCCAGATAAATGAAGATTGTATGCTATTTGTGAATGGTGAACAGTTGAAGCAAATTAGAAAAAAAGTCTAAATAATAAAGAAAAAACAAAATAAACTAGTAATTCATTCTGTTGATATTCGTAGCCTTGTGGCTTGCCTATTTCATGTAACAACTTTTCAACATTGGCCGATTGCCAGGGCCTTTTGAGCACAGTGAATCGGAACAAGAAGGGAAACAGAAATAAGGAGGCGGAAACGGACAAAACCAAATGGTTGACAAGAGGCTGAAATCAACAATGACTCAATGCGGCTGCTTGAGACGTGACGTCTTTTCTTCGAAACGACGCTGTCGACTTAATCTTCCAGATTAAACAAAGCGAAAAAAAAAAAAAAAAAGATGCGACCAACCAAGAAGTCGAAGTCCTGCTTTTTCTAAGATGGAAGAAATCGAAAAGGGAAGAACAGGAAAATCATACAAAACGAAAGGTATGTATAGAGATATAAATATGGTATATTTTCGCAGCGACTGCACCTTGATGCATGCTTCTTTCAGTATTATGGAAGGTAAATATTTTCTAAATTTTTATCCGATTTTGGCATCCTGATAATTTTCCGTTATTCATTAAATGTAAATAGAATAGAAAAAAATGGATGAAATCTTGCGAAATATTCATTCTCCTTAATTTTTAATGAAATTAGATACAGACAATTATTATTATATATTTTCTGTTTATACGTTGTTTTAATAGATACAACTTATTTAAGTAAATGGGCTACTTTTTAAATAAACTGTATTAAATATATTGTCAGATATAAATTGACGGTTTCGAATAGGGTGCAGGTTCGACGAAATTTCTCAGGTCGGTAAATGTAATTGTTACTGTTTATTTAAAAACAGAACATTCAGTTAAATAAATTGTATCTATTAACACACACAAACACATACTCGCACACAGACAGACAGACAAACAGACAGACACACACACACACACACACACATATATATATATATATATATATATATATATATATATATATATATATATATATATATATATCTGTAGGACGAAAAGACCGTCCAGTGCTTTCTGCATTGCGTTGAGATTTCTTCTAGACCCGATGAATTACTTAATTAGGATTATTTCAAATCCTCCTGATTATTTCTATCGAACCGGCTTCCAATGCCCTGGACTGGGCGTCTTGGGGATAGTAGTCGTGGAGGCACAGTCCTATGGGTAAAGAGAAACTCGGATGAGTTCTATAACGGAATATTTTATCGATCGGGTCTATATCCAACCTAATTCGTTACATCTTCGTCACTGAGGCCCGTTGGTATACTTGGTATGGCGTTTGCCTCCTATCCTAACTGTTTGTGTTTCAATTCTCTATAGTGGATGCGCACTGCTGATGAGTCCCAATTATAGGACGATACGGCCGTCCAGTGCTTTCTGCATTCCGTTGAGGTTTCTTCTAGACCCGATGAATTACTTAATTACGATTATTTAAAATCCTCCTGATTATTTCTATCGAACCGTCTTCCATTGCCCTGGACTGGGTGTCTTGTGGATAGTAGCTCGTGGAGGCACAGTCCTATGGGTAAAGAGAACCTCGGATGAGTTCCACCACGGAATATGTGATCGAGCTGCGATATATCGAGTCTAATTCATTACCTCCTTGTCAAGGAGGCCCGTTGGTACAGTTGATATGGCGTTTGCCTCCTATCGTAGTAGTGGACGCGCACTGCTGAGGAGTCCCAAATATAGGCCAAAACGGCCGTCAAGTGCTTTCTGTTGAATCGTCTTTTAGACTCGATGAATTACTACTTTATATATATATATATATATATATATGTGTGTGTGTGTGTGTGTGTGTGTGTGTGTGTGTGTGTAATAGAGAAATTCAAAATTACCTCATGAGAATAGACTATTTGAACTGCCGTCAATACGTCAGCAATTTTTCCACTCAAATTGTTAAAATTAAATACGAAAAAAAAAAAAGACGAAATACATTCTTACCATGAGGTAATTTTTTCCATTTATCTATTATGTAATTTATATGCTCTGATAGTAAATACAATGAACTCTTTTTGTGGACCAGTTTTAATGTTTGATATTATTAGGATCCACTTGGATTATATACCAACGAATGTATTACCTGTTATATAAATATCCTCACTGTGTGTTTATCTAAAAATAAATACACTTAAATTCACCTTCATCCATGCCGTGCGCCAACTGCTTAGTGGTAAATTTCCGATCCTAGCTAAACGCAGCGGGACGTCTACTCACACTGATGATCTGTGATAAAGCGAAACAATCTGTCTGTTGATGACAACATATATATATATATATATATATATATATATATATATATATATATATATATAATATATATATATATTAATGGTAGTAATAATCTTATAAGTATAAGAAATTATACTCGTCCGCAAAACCTTCGGTGTCTTAATTTGCAAATAATCAAATCAAAACCAAAGAGAAAGAAAAGGTATAAAAAAGAAAGAACCAAGTACATGTACGTTAGTCGAAAATAATGGTCCATCATGCAAGTTCAAAGCTCCCACCCCCAAAAAACGGATACGACTACAAAATAACTAAATAAAGTGCTCAATACAATAAGTAGAGCAGACCTAGTTAAACCTAGACAGCTAGACAAACCGACAAAGTTTTCACCTAAGCGGATCGTTCTTTTTTTTTTACCTTTTAGCCAGTCCACTTAGGTGAAACCTTGGTAGGTTTGTCTGGCTCTCTAGTTGTTACTATATATATATATATATATATATATATATATATATATATATATATATATATATATGTAGTATATTAAAAATACTTTTGCAAACTTTGGGATCGGGTTCCTCGTAGCAAAAAGTCCATATAAAAATGTTTGGAAATCCTTCGGTTTTGAGTTATTAAGTTTAAAGTTTACGGTACAGGCGATTAAATATACAATCCAAGATACAATCCAAAAGTACATTTCCAAACTTTGCAGCGGGTTCCCGACACTAAAACAAGGTAAGAGATTCATATAAAACATATGTCAAAATAAAAGCCATTGTTGTACGCCAATAGCAACTCATGACAAATGTGCAAATATCCACCACTTGCTTCTGCAGACGCAAGCACCCGTCGGACCATTGACTAGCGGTCACATTCAAATACGCCCACACGGTGTCAAACGTTTCCACAGACCCCAAAGACACGTCGATAAAGCGTTTCTGCCTTATAAAGGTCTACTGATTAACCATTGTTTTAGTTGGCCCCACAGGTAAAAATCCAAATGACTGAAGTCAGGGAAAGTGCGCAGTCCATGGAACCAGTCCTCCCCTACCTATCGATCTTTAATGGTAGATATCAGTCAGGGCATAGCGAAAAATATGACTAAAATATGCTGTCGAACAATCATGAATGTACCATATGCGTCTTTATATTAGCAGGGGTAAATTAAAAGTCTAGAAATGTATACGATAAAATATTTTCCGATTTCTTTTTGAAGATTACGATTACGTGATGACGATTCACATCTGTCTATATTTCTGAGATGCGGTATTATAATGTACACTATTTACATTAGTCGGACTATTGTCCTTATCTTTGTCGCCATATTTATAACAACGTTTCGGCCGTTCAGTATCTGTCTATATTTCTGAGATGAGGTATTATGTACACTATTTACATTATTCGGACTATTGTCCTCATCTTTGTCGCCATATTTATAACAACGTTTCGGCCTTTCAGTATCTGTCTATATTTCTGAGATGATGTATTATGAACACTATTTACATTATTCGGACTATTGTCTTCATCTTTGTCGCAATATTTATGACAACTTTTCGGCCTTTCAGTATCTGTCTATATTTCTGAGATGAGGTATTATGTACACTATTTACATTATTCGGACTATTGTCCTCATCTTTGTCGCCATATTTATAACAACGTTTCGGCCTTTCAGTATCTGTCTATATTTCTGAGATGAGGTATAATGTACACTCTTTACATTATTCGGACTATTGTCCTCATCTTTGTCGCCATATTTATGACAACGTTTCAGCCGTTGTACGATCAGGCCTTCTTCCAACCACCTTGAAGTAGGTCGGAGCGTACAACGGCCGAAACGTTGTCATAAATATGGCGACAAAGATGAGGACAATATACCGAAAAATGTAAATAGTGAAGATTCCAGTGTAATAAATTATAACCATGGAATATTAGTGTTCGAGCCTTTTATATTATATTCTTCCTCTGTCCTGGACATTAAGTTCTACCTGGATTCTCCCAGCAAGCATTCCCTCTGTTTAGAAAGGAAAGCTCACGGGATCTGATATACAAGGATACTAGAACCTTGAGGTGAAATGTGGAGTGGGACCTAGATAAAATTATAAATCGGTCACCACTAAAATTTTCCACACATTCCCTTCTATTTATTAAATGTTCAGCAATAGCTGAACTAGAACTATTAGTCAGTTGGCTATTCCTGGAGGACGGATTCAAAATCCTGGTGGGTAAATGCTGTTTTATTCTCGAATCCAAACGCTGGGACGTCCTCCGTATGTAGTCGTGTCCACAACTACACTTGTATTGGTAAATCACTGAATTAACATGATGGGGAGGGAGGACGTCCTTACGAATGGAAGAGAAAGCAGGACGGGTAACAAATATTACCCTAACATTCGCCGAATAATAACAACTATTGATTAAACGTGAAATAAGCTATGTACCAATATCGGGAAGACGCAAATAAACTGATCATTTATCAGTATATTGC